TGGCTAGGTCATGTTGTCCGGATGGACGAAAACACTCCAGCTCTGAAAGTATTCGGCACAGTACCCGTCGGGGGAAGCAGAGGAAGAGGAAGACCTCCACTCCGTTGRAAGGACCAAGTGGAGAGGACCTGGCTTCACTTGGAATATCTAATTGGCGCTACGTAGCGAAAGATCGCGTAAGCGGTGTCTACGAGAATCAAGAAGAAGAAGAATGAAACGTCTGCTCCATCGTCATCGATTTGATCACCCTTACCGGCCAGCTTTTCAAGYYCTTCATACTCACATATTTCGGTCTATCTCTTTTTGGTTGTCTGCAAAAACGTCTCGCTTCCCTTTTCAACTCTCGGCATTTATACCATCCCACACGCGTTGTGGTTGAATGTAATGTTGCAAGGTAAGCAGTAAACTTTCTCTCCACTGCGTTCTGCCGTCCCACAGTTGTATGCTTAAATTTGTCAATAAATTAATTAATTTGACTATTGACTAACTTTTTATACAATTAAAATCTCTGCCTTTGGGGAATGAAGTCGCATATAAGTTGACACTGGTACTCAATCCAAGTTTGGTTTGCTGGAAACGGACACAGCTAAATATTRCACTACGGCGAGCTCCGGTTCCAATCTAAAGAAAAGTTGCAAAATATTATTTTATGGGGAACTTATCAGTAGTATAGGCTGGCAAATAACAATGATGATTTTTATTGCAGTCTGCCAATAACTTGGAATATTGTTCGCCTGTAAMTACTTATCATACTTTTCGATAAAAAGTTGACCTTATGTTTCAGAATGGCTTCAGTATAGGCTGCGGCTACTAAATAAGTAATTTACAGTTGAAATACTGCATACTTTCTAATAAAATGTTTCTGGTATTCTCTCAAAGAAATCAGTATAAAACTTCCTGATTAAGGCTCAAAGCGATACTCAAGTACTCAGTTCAGTACTTGTATTGGAGTGTTCTTCTAATAGAATATAGATATTTCTTTCCTTAAAATTCTAGAATGTCTTAAATTTTAACAAGCGTTAAAATGAAAAATTCAAATTTGGAAGTCTCCTCTGTAAATGAAATACTACTTATATTTGCTCAAAGATAATGGTGCTTGACACTGTAATTGCTTACGCCGAACTTACATAACAACAGCAGAATATCCTTTCCCACAAAAAGGGACAACAATGTTTAAATACTTAAGTCGTTAGAAAGGTCAAAAACACATTAAGAAGATATGTAAGAACTTCGTTGAACTTTCCTTTAATCCTCTGCCCTCAATTAAATTTGTACACCAAGTAAGTGTGGTAAGGCAGTGCTTGCGATACCGTTAAGTGTGTTAAGCTGTGCTCGTCTTATGGCTGCGGATGCATTTCATTACCAACGCCTGCCTTTTATTTGTCGTCAAGTTAAATAACTAAAGTACTTATAAAATATTAAATTTCACATGGCTCACAAGAGCTCCCAGAAGAACAAGTGTTTGTGGTTTGAAACTGTTAAAAAGGTGTAAAGGGATTATCAAAAAGTAAATACAACATTAAAGAAAATTTAAATCGATGGGATATGTGTATAGGGTGTAGTGAGAGGCYTAACAGAAAGTAGAAGTATGCTTTCATAGCAATTCGGAAAGAGTGACGGAAAGATGAAGACGCTGTATAAATATTTAATAACAACTTTCTTAAGTAAAATACAGAAATATTTACCAGAATTCGTAACGGATAGAGTGGAAATGTAGGTTTCTATTAGAGTAAGGGAAGGAGAGACAGGAAACGATTGTGAGACAAAGAAAACAGAGAGTAATATTAGGTTGTCAAATATCTCCTTTGTGCTTTTATGCCTTTATTCAATGATTTATAAAAAGTGATCGGATTTAGTTCACATATGCGACATTTCGTTCGGTAATCTGTTTCCATGTAGACGGCAACTTCATAGGGACTTGTAAAAGCCCCCCTCTTTATTTGCGAAGAACTCCGCCAGCCACTTTTTACAAGCAACTTTAGTTCAACTTTACACCAACAAGGGTGTTCGCCATGGACAGGAACAGGGGGTAATCACTTGGCGCTACGTCCGGGCTATATGGTGGATCCGATGAAGCCTCCCATCGGAGTTCCCATAGCTTCTGACGAGTCATCAACGAAGCATGTAATCTGGCGTTGTCCTGGTGGAACACTACATCCTTTCTGATGGCCAATTCTGAACRCTTCTGATCGATCGCCTGCTTCAAGCGGTCCAGTTGTTCGCAGTAGATGGTAGAATTAAGCGTCTAGCCATATGGGAGCAGCTTATAGTGGATGATTCCCTTCCAATGGAACCAAACCAAACACACAGCAAAACCTTCCTGGCCGTCAATCCCGGCTTGGCCACTGTTTAGGACGATTTCCATGATTTGATCGGTATTCGTCGTCACAGGTCTTCCGCCGGCTGGCTTATCCATGGTGTCATTTTCACCCGCTCTGAATCATCGAAACCATTCCTCCGCAGTTCGAAGTGATAGAGTACACTCCCCCAAACCACCAGTAATCTCACGGAACGTTTCTCTAGCGGATTTGCCAATCAAATAAAAAATTTCGGCGTTAGTGAACTCCATGTTTACACGTCTATAGCTTTTGAACGCAATATCCAAACTAATCATGCATAGCGTTATTTTGTAGGYTAGGTCAAGACCTTTCAAAGATGTATAGTATTGCCAGATACGAGCTCTGTAGCGTTTTATACATAGCCGCGAAACTCAAAAGGTTCCAGGCCTTTTTGGAGGGCTCGAAAGAGGTTGCTGATGAACCTCGGATGAATAAGCAAATCCAAAGTGGAAACGATGCTCATTATCTTTTTTGACATCGAAGACATCGTTCACCATGAATTTGTTCCTCTTGGATAAACCGTCAACGCCAAGTTTTACATGGAAGTCCTCAAGAGATTCAAACGAAAGGTCAATCGTTTCCGCCAAGATGTGCACCAAATAAAATTTTGTCAACAATATTCATTTTGAATATTTAACTTCGCTAATTTTAGCAGTTGTTTTATATYTTAATCATTTTGACCATAGCTTTAACTACTTTATAATCTACTTACGCAATAAMTACAGTGACCTACAAAATCTTAAAAACCATCATAATT